TATGAAACACACTGATATGTATGATGTATGTGCCAAATATGAATGAAAATGGTACATAAATTGTGGAAATATAGTAGCAAGGCCAAAAAGTCAGATGGCTGTCAATCGGTCATCCTTGACCAGATTTTGAAACAAATTGTCATGGACATGCATCCCAACATGTATAAAGTACATGTATGTGCCAAATTTGAATGAAAACTGACAGAACACGTCCAAGATACAACATAAAAGAACAAAACAAGATGCCTGCCAGTCGACCATCTTTGATCCAATTGCAAAATAAATTGTCATGGACATGTAACCTAACATGTATAATCTATGTACCAAGTTTGAATGACAACTGACAAAGCATGTCCAAAATACAACATTTTCTAAAAACAAGATGGCTGCCAGTCGGCCATTTTGAATCGAATCGCTAAAACCACTGCATGTGCATATGTCCCACATAAGGTACTAGGCACATGCAAAGAATGAACGGAATCGATCCACAGGATTCTGAAATATGACTCTGGACAGACTGACGCACAAACAGACGGACACACGGACGGACAAACGGATGGACAGACAGACAGACTCAGGAACTCACGAACGGTCGGGGACATGTATCCTAACATTTATGATCTATGTACTAAATTTGAATGAAAACTGACAAAGCATGTCCAAAATACGACATTTTCAAAAAACAAGATGGCTGCCAGTCGGCCATCTTTGATCCAATTGTGAAATAAATCGACATGGACATGTATCCTAACATGTATGATCTATGTACCAAATTTGAATGAAAACTGACAAAGCATGTCCAAAATACAACATTTTCAAAAAACAAGATTGCTGCCAGTCGGCCATTTTGAATAGAATCGCTAAAACACTGCATGTGCATGTCCCACATAAAGTACTAAGCACATGCAAAGAATGAACGGAATCGGTCCAAGGGATTGTGAAATATGACTCCGGACGGTCGCATGAACGCACAGACGGAGACCGAATTATAAGTCCCCGTTTTCGGACTTTGTCCGAACGGCGACTAAAAATAGAAGAACTCTTGTGTGCTTGCATCATGGTGTTTGTCCGGGATGGGTCAACAAGAATTAATTTTGACCCTGGTTCACGCTGGACATAGATAACAGATTTTAGTACAGCACAAATATGAAAAGGTATGTTTTTTTACCTTTAATGTATATGAAACAGCATTTCAGACATTTTAAAAAATACATACATACTTTCATCAAGACTTCCACAAATGAATTGCGTCCTGCCTCGATAACTTACCTCCACAAAGGCATCCTTTCACGACTTCACTTCTGAAAACCACCGATCTCCAGCTCTTTGTTGACATCAAATAAATATGCGCTGATCGCACACCAAGAAATCCAACAGCCTGTGCAGAAGTTATAACTTCATATCTGACAGTATTTTCACTCTGTGTGTTTTCTGATTTTCTCTTCACTACACCTTCACAGACATTTGCTACTTTGCGTGACAGTTTTATGTTGAGCTGTTCTACTGCTTTATCTTCCTGGGAAGGCAATCCAGGGATAATTTTTGAAGTCTCTGCATCATGACAACTGCCACACTTTCCAATTCCCTCAAATTCTTGTATCCACTCAAGAAATGCATTACAGTATTTTATTTTCAGTACTGGTTGTTTAGAATTATCGCAGTAAAACAACTTCACATGTGCACTATTGGTAATGTTAGTCCATTCATTGTTTACTTCCATCAGTGGTATTCTTTCTGTGCATCGTGGTTCTGACTTTAACCGCAAGAAACCAAGTTTCTTATTCTTTGTGATGTAAACCAGACAATCTTCTTCGTTCACCCTGGCAACAAAAAATAAGTGCATGTATTAGGAGAAACACTTAAAGAGGAAGCTATAAATCCCTGGGACTGCACTGTGGAATCATGGGACACCATATTCCACATTGTTATGTGTTAGGTGAGCAGTCCTTAAAGGCTCAAATGCAGATTTGTAGTATCATATCCATTTTCCACCCTTGTACTTGCCACAGCAATGACCATGATGCACATATGCTGTCATGCTCGCTATGGTCAAAAAAAAAAAAAATATTCGCTTCACAGCCTTCATACATTAACACTCAAAAGGGACGACATCAAAAGATGAATGTCGGATAAAAAACTTATTTCCTTTAGTTTTTTCCAAAAAAAAATGATCATGGCGTCAGACACATTCACCATTAAATACAAATTAATAATCAGACAGTAGTATGGCACAGCAGTTGGTTGTAATAATGAAGGGGAATATACGAATGCACAAACTATTTTTCTGGGTTCTGCGCATGCTCTAGGTCCATGCCCTGAAATTGACCTCATTTTACACATATATTTACACTCGGGCCAAACCATTTTCTCGTCTTGGATGTTTTTATTTTTTTTCATTTTCTGTTAATTTTGTCTATGATAAGATAAAAAAAAAACGAACTACAAATACTGACTTCATTAAAAAATAAAATCGTTTGTGTAAGATGGAAACTTTTTGAGGTCAAAACCCCCACCCCCAAACTAAAGCAAATAATTTTTTTTTTATCAGACATCGATCTTTTGACATCGTCCTTAAATGCTGTTACTGATACGTGGCAATAGTAAAAATAATAAATTTGAGATGCTGCATCACTGCATGCAAAAACCTGATGACCAGCCACTTGTAACGCCAAAAAAAAAAAACGCTATATGTTGACTAGTGTACATTTTCTAATGCGCACGAGGCTGGCTAGACAAGGAATTCGAATTATCTAATATAAATATTTTTAGTCATTTGTTCACCTACTTTAAGCATGAATGTAATAGCTAGATTTAGTAATCATGTTAAAAAACTGTTCACAGTTATGGCATGAATTTGTCATTTTCTTAAACAACTGTAAAATAATCCACGAGAAAGCCAGTAACGTAATTCGTACTGAGTCAAATTAACATTATTGGTTCGTCATCGGCAACACTAAAGATCAAGTGGTCCGAGTCTCATTCCTGTTCTATTATCACAAGTAAGAGTAACAATACTAAACACAGTATTCATTTCAATAAAACACGACTAGGTGTATTTCTGGCTTAATCTCTGTGACGACTTTTTAAATTTTCATTGAATCCGCTATGTGATAATGAGAAACACATTAGGAACTGTGTAAATGTTTGTGGAGATTAGATAAAGCAAATTGTTTCAGTGGCCCAACGTCAAGTGACATTAAATGACAGCAGTTAATTATTCAAGCTTAGTAGTATGACCTTTTTTCCTGGTTCTGGTTTTTGACGTTTATCTGAAGAAAAAAAACTCAAACTATTTATTGTCATAAATACTACATATAGTCACGACTGTGATATTCATAGTCACATACATTCACTTTAGCAAGACATAATCGACCTGTACGTTTGAGAAAACGTGTCTTTACCAGCGCTTGGCTGTAGATGCTTACTACAGTGTGACTTTCAAGGAAATAATCCCTATTGTTTAGAAGTGTATTTGTAGAATGCCTGGGCCTTTGAAAAAAAAAAACCTGTATCACATTACCACTAGAGGGCTCACTTCATAAGTGCATTTATTTAACCTGAATTTTAATCTGCTATAAGAGTTTTGTTTTGAGTTTAGGATAATATAGAAATGTATTTTTGTGAAAATGACGACAAAACAATGTAGTATTTCACCACTAGAGGGCATACTTCATAAATTGAAGAAATAGCAAAAGTTAAGTTAGGCAACTTTCTCAGATATACAAAAGTAGGAACGAAGCAGAAGTTTGAATATTTGAAATAACTAAGCCAAATTGAGGAGTCTTAAGGAAGCCATAGAATGCTCCATTTTAAGGTGAACCCTATCTCCCCCACTTGGGGCGCCGCTGAATTGCAGTACTCCCTCTTGCAGTTTTTTTCAAAAAAAAAACCCTGCCCATGCATACAACAATAAGGCCTAGCAGTATTACTCATATTATATTTTGGTTAAAACAAATAGAATTGTGAAAGATGAATGGTTGATGTAAATATCAATCAAGATGCAGTGTAATGTAATGTGAAACTCATTTCAATGTATCAAATGTGACAACAATTTGACATTCCACAACATTACAGAAAAATGGGAATTATATTAATACAAAATGCGTTCTCTTAAAAATTCAGACAAATTGTATAACAAGATACTTGTTAAATTTCATTGAATACAAGCATGAAGCTTTTATGACTACACAATAAATTCTGGACTGTCGACAGTCCCTCTAGCTTAATGTTTTTTTTTCAACTATTATAATCAAATGCCACTATGCATTTGCAAAATGCCTTCATTTTAGTCGAAAAAACATTATGCCATAGGGACTGTTGACAGACTGAATAAATTCATAGAGTATCTTGATTAACTACAGCCATAAACTTTTATAGGAAAGCGCCTTCTGAGATTCTATATGTGAATGACTCTTGATGATCTTTAATCTGATAATCTGATTAAGGAGCACAAAATAATAATAAACATTGAATATTTTATCAAAATTTGGTGACTTACTGTGTGACTGCGATACCTTTGATATTATCATCACTTGCACATACAACTGTTGTGATGACAGTAGACATCGCTATATTAAATGTGTAGATTGTACTACCGCTATCACTGGAATTACATAAACTAAAAAAACAAAAACAAAAAAACTATAATTACAGCCATTCAGCATTTCAATAAAATGTTGATGTATCCATAAGAATCAATGGATGATCATTAACAATAATTATTTTCTATTTCGCTATAACATTTTTTTACGACAATTTTTTTTAATTTCTGCTATGCAAAAGCATTACAGATGCATGTTGAGTGGGTGTGACAACCACTAATCAGTGCTGTAACTTTGTTATAACTGGCTGGGCCCAGGCAAACAAGCCATTTCACAAGCTACTCCAATACTTTCTGTACACGTTTTAAAGTTACATAAAGCGCACTATGATTTTTAATACATGCCTTCAGTTGAATTGATTATTCTGCTTTACAGTGTTTCACAAATGAAATGAGTTAGTTCTAGAATCTTCACGTGTAGGAATGACATAAATCCATGTGACCCCCTGACAAACAGATTTAGTACCCCACGATTCAATTCATAACAATAAATTTCATCATTCTAATTTTCGTCTGTTTTCTATTTTATATGAAGATTGTAATTCTGACTTGCTCTAATTGAATTTCCTTGAAATAAACAATACATACAAATAAATGACATTTTTTACTTCAATCACGTAATATGTATGTAATATCACCAAACATTACCAAGACAAAAATTCAAATGACACTTTTCTTTTCAATCAATTTGGATAAATCAATACTCATTTAAGCGCAATGGACAGTACGAATTTGATCGTTTGTAGTAAGTATATACAGAAATTATGTCAATGAATAGCGCCCTCTATGGTATTGGTAATTTTACGTTTGTCTTTTCAACAGTTTGTATATCACAAACAGTTCATGACAGACACAGAAATTTTTTCCCCCAAAATTTATGAACATGGGTGTTTTTTTTTTTTTATTCTGAAATTGTTATTTAATTTATGCTTTATTTTGATTTTTAAAAACTGAATTTCTATGTTCTTAATGATCTGAAATTCTAAAAAAAAAAGCACTTTAAAAAAAAAGCTGACAAGCAGCAATCACAGGGTCTAGTTTTGGTAGTCTAATAATGTTTTACTGATAGCTGCCAATTTTATTTCTGCTAGTAGGATAATAACTTGATTACTAATGCCAGTGAGTTTTAGAAAGACTTCTGTGCTACTGTACAAATTGTGAATTTGTGAGGAGATTACAAGGTAAGTCTGTTAACACTGGTATATCTAACAGACACAGATATGGACATAGAAAGATATCAAGCTGTTAAATATAGAACCACTACAATCTGCCATTGTATATTTAAGATTTACTCAGTATACAACCAGTATGTGCACTTGCAAAGCATAACAAGTTTCCCCCATGTCAGTCGGTTTCCCTTTGAGCAGTCAATATGCCGACCTTAGATATCCATAAAAATTAAAATTCTAAATCAAGCGGAACATGCAACCAAATGAATTCATTTTTTGTCAAGACCTACCAAAAGGTTCTTGGTTCAGTGCCCCTAATCGCATAAATTTTGCATAATTGATAAACTTTGGTAAAGGTCTTGAACCCCCGAAAGTAACCTAATGACATATATAGTCACAATTTGCTTAATTTCTACTCTAATTTTGTACCAAGGTGAAATAATTTCCCATTACCTAAAACAGTTCTGTAGCAAAATTGTTTAAAACATATGAAAGTTCCAACAGAGAATTATGATTTACGAGATTTCTATGTGGATGCAACATCAAAATTTGGCTACATATACACAGTATAACAAACATATTCTGAGAGAGGCAGTTCTTTGGACTTGAAAAGAATAACTTTCAAATAAATGAATGAACAAGAGTAACAACTTTGGGTACCATTACTTGCATTTAGATACAAACCAACTGTGTCTAGACATGATTACTAAAAGTTTCTAAATGTTGCCCTAATATGTGAAATTGCATCAGTACATACATTCTGTTCGTTTTAGTTTTGTGATAACTTAATTTACCATATGGCAATTTATATGATCAAATAAAATTCATTTCAAGGTAAATTCTACTGATATTCATCAAGAAATTTCCCTCAGTATTACTTTGATGTCCTCTGTTGATGTTGGTTTGATCTAATCAGTAACTATGTCAAGACATGCATAGCAAAACTTGCAACTTAGGTGGTCTATGTTGCTGTTTTGCTTGTACAAAACAATACCTTGCCGACAATCACTGTAATAGACAATATTAAATAGTGTTTCATCCCCAGAGTGATACAACAGACACATAGAACAAACAAGCCATGCATGGCACAGTCCCCGTTAGTTATCAAATTTAAGATATATAGTTATGTGTATAGTAATATAACCATGTCAGGAATATGATTTTTTTAACATTAAAATGATTGTCATTTGTATCTTATTACTTATTACAAGTCCATATTGAGAGATATTGCTCTGGAACAGCATTCAAAATCAGCCATTTTGAATACATGTATATATATATATATATATATATAACATGATGTATAACGAATATATAAAATTTGAATATAATCAGTGAAAGCATTTAAGAGATATGGCTCTAGAAGCCCAATCATTAAAACAAAATGACCGCCAGTCAGCTATTTTGAATCCAATCTGAAAAATAAAATGACATGCATCAGGAACCTGTAATGTCTAACGTGTGTTATAAGTTTGAACAAAATCCATCCATAAATGCAAGAAATGCTTGATATTCGAGGATTTTTTTAGCACAAAAATAGCACACTTTGAAA